TACATTTAACGCAAAACGAATTTTAAATGTCACTAAGGTAACTTGACTTAAGGTAGAGATACAGTTTACCTGACAGATATTTTAATTAGTTAATTAGGAAACCAAGATGACCTCCCCTGTCCACAAAACTATATATTTCCGGAAAGCTTCTTGTATGAATTTAAAAATTTTGTTAGTATTTTTTATGGACACTGTAGTTTGAAATATGCACAAAAATGTGCTTTTTTGGTCAAAAGTGATTAAAAAAATTAGCTTCTGTTTCGTGTCAAAATTGGTTTATGGGTACATATGTTTACTATGAAAAAGGTGCCGTCTTGAAAACTGTCTACCAGTGGTCAATTTTGCAGCGCAGCAGCTCAAATTTCACTACTTCAAGTTTATGCATCAATTAACACCCAGGCTAGTTGTCTGTACGATTGTTGTAACACTGTTGAACCAAAAACAATGCCCCGACGGTGTTTTGAAGATAAACACATTGTCAATAATCATTTGTGAAAATTTCAAAACAAAAAGTCAAAGCGTCTAGGAGCTATTTTTTATTAGGTTCTGGGATGTGCACTAAAAAGAAGCTGAGATTGCTAATTTGCATAACAATTCATTCAGTAAGAAGTTTGCTAATGCTCATAATTAAAATGGCTGTAACAGCTCCAAATTTAAATGTATTATCGTTTTGTTAAAGGTTAAATATAGTGCATAATATGGAGATTCCGTCATTTTTTTTTCACCATGTTTCTCTTTTATTGTTTATGAGAGAATGTTTGCACCTGTTATTTATATTTTAAAATCGTTTTTTGAATATGTTCCACTATTCACAATTCTACAAAGTTGTAACAGTCTATAGCCAAGACTGTTTGGATAATGAAAAGCAAAAAAAATCACTTCCAAGTGCCCACGAACCTGCATCTCTACCTTAATTTTTTAGATACTGTTCCATGCTCATAGTTTCATGTACTTACTGGTTTTACATATGATTTATCCGTCACTGTGTTGCCATGGTGAATATTTTGTTCTAAGTGGCCATGTCCTAGATTTCTATGAAACACTGCAACATTCACTTTCTTCGCCCAGATTTCCAACGACGAGGGCATAACAGCGTAATACCGGTATAATAATACTAATACGAACCAATGGACGTATAATTCCAACATCTGCATATATTGGGTCGTGGTAGTTTATCATAAATGTCTGTTTCAGACTAACAGCCGTTCTACTTTTCAACAACGATGGCGTAAACATGATGATATAATATGAAAATCAATTAGTGGATTTTTAATTTCTGTTATACATGTCCGTGCCAGTCAGAGGCAACGTACGGGCGACGAAGGCGTAAACAGTATAAAATATTCAGAAAATAAACTAGTAAATATACACAAAGTAATTCTAAAATGCTTTATTTTGGGTCTTGAGATATAAATGTAGGTTTATTATACATTTCCATTATTTGAACAATTATTGTTTTGTTGGCATCCTCAAACAAAAGTGTATTTATTTCCAAAGGGGATATTATTTCAATAAATACATTGCATTACATTCATGTAACTATATATGATCCAAACTGCTATTACATAATATATACGTGAATAACCCTAACCACAGATTTAAACTCCAGGTATATTTTACCCCCCACATTATACCTACATTCGTACGCAGCATGCAGTTATATTTTTAAACCCTGTTCACCTTCTGTACATGTTATATGTGATCCCAAAGACAGACTAACAATCCATAAGAAAGACATACAATCCATAAGAGAGACATGGAATCCCAAAGCGAGACATGGAACCCATAAGAGAGACATATAGTCCACAAAAGAGACATATAATCCATAAGAGAGACATAGAATCCATAAGAGAGACATAGAATCCATAAGAGAGACATACAATCCATAAGAGAGACATACAATCCATAAGAGAGACATACAATCTATATGAGAGACATAGAATCCATAAGAGAGACATAGAATCCATAAGAGAGACATACAATCCATAAGAGAGACATAGAATCCATAAGAGAGACATGGAATCCATGAAAGACATACAATCCATACAAGAGACAA